GGAATCAGATTGACTTCATCTGTGCCAAGAGGCAATGGAGAAGCTCAATATTTTCAGCCCTAAAAAGGCCAGGAGCTGATTGTGGAACATACCATCAGCAGCTCATGTGCAAGCTCAAGTTGAAACTGAAGACAATTAAAATAATTCCAAAAGAGCCAAAATATAACCTTTATTTAATCCTTCCTGAATTTAGAGACCATCTAAAGAATAGATTTGATTCATTGAACACCAATGACCGAAAACCAGAAGAATTGTGGAATGACATCAAGAACATTATCCATGTAGAAAGCAGGATAAAAGACAGAAAAGGAAGAAAAGACCAAAGTGGATCTCAGAGGAGACTCTGAAACTTACCCAAGAATGGAGAGTAGCTAAAGCAAATGGGAGAATTGACAGGATAAAAGAGCTGAACAGAAGATTTCAAAGAGCAGCTCGAGTGGACAAAGCCAATTACTATAATGAAATGTGCAAAGACCTGGAGTTAGAAAACCAAAAAGGGAGAACACACTTGGTATTTCTCAAGCTGAAAGATCTGAGGAAAACATTTAAGCCTCGAATTGCAATATTGAAAGATTCCCTGGGCAATATGTTGAATGACACAGGAAACATCAAATGAAGATTGATGGAATAAATGGAGTCATTATATCAAAATAATTTGTAGATGATTATCCATTTCAGGAGGTAGAATATGATCAAGAACTGATGGTATTGAAGGAAGAAGTCAAATCTGCAGTGAACGAATTGGAGAAAAACGAAAAACAAAGCTCTGGGAATTGACCGAATATCCATTGAAATGTTTCAACAAATGAATGCCATGCTGGAGGCACTCAATTGGTTATGCCCAAAGATTTGGAAGACAGCTACCTGGTCAGCTGACTAGAAGATATCCATATGTGTACCCACTCCAAAGAAAGGTGATCCCACAGAATGTGATAATTATCAAACAATATCACTGATATCACATGCAAGTAAAATCTTACTGAAGATAATTCAAAAACTGTTACAGCAGTGTATTAACAGATAACTTCCATAAATGCAAGTTGGATTCAAAAGGGGATGTTGAGCAAGGGATATCATAGCTGATGTCAGATGGATCTGGGCTCAAAGCAAAGAATACCAGAAAGATGTTTACTTGTCCTTTATTGACTATACAAAGGTATTTGATTGTGGATCATAACAAATTATGGATAATTTTGAGAAAAATGGGAATTTCAGAGCACTTAATTATCTTTATGAGGAACCTGTACATAGACCAGGAGTCTGTCATTCATATAGAGCAAGGGAATGATGCATCGTTTAAAATCAAGAAGGGAGTGAATCAGGGTTGTATCCTTTCATCATACTTATTCAACTTGTATGCTAAGCAAATAATCCGAGAAGATGGAGTATATGAAGAAGAATGTGGCATCAGGATTGGAGGAAGGCTTATTAACAACCTACAATATGCAGACAACACAACTTTCCTTGCTGAAAGTGAGGATGACTTAGAACACTTACTGATGAAAATTAAAGACTATAATCTACAGTATGGATTATACCTCAACATAAAAAAAACAAAACTCCTCAAAACTGGACTAATAAACAGCATCACAATAGATGGAGAAAAAATTAAGTTATCGAAGACTTCTTATTACTTGGTTCTACAATTAAAACCAATGGAAGCAGCAGTTAAGACTTCAAAAGACATACTGCATTGGTAAATCTGCTGCAAAAGATCTCTTTCAAGCACTGAAGAGCAGAGATATCTCCTTGAAAACTAGGATGTGCCTAACCCAAGCCATGGTGTTTTCAAAGATCTCATATGCATGTGAGGGCTGGACAATGAATAAGGAAGATCAAAGAAGAGTTCATGCTCTTGAGGTGTGGTGGTGGCAAAGAATGCTGAAAGTACTATGGACTGCTAAAAGAACTAACAAATCTGTCCTGGAGGAAATGCAGCTGGAATGCTCCTTAGAGTGAGAATGGCCAGACTTTGTCTCACCTGCTTTGGTCATGTTGTCAGACCATTCTCCAGAGATGGATTTCATGATTGTTAAAGTGTAGGGTCAATGAAAGAGGGAAAGGCCCTCAATGGGATGGATAGATATGGTTGCTGCAGCAATGGGCTTAGGTGTAGCAGGGATAGTGAGGCTAGCATAGGACTGGACAGTGTTTTGTTCTGTTGTACATAAGGTTACTATGAGTCAGAGATGACTTGATGGCACATAACCACCACCACAACAACTGTGAGACCAGAAGAACTAGATGGTACCTGGCTACTTATAGGGAAGGTTCTTATCAGGACCACAAAAGATGTGTTCTGAAAGAAAAGGAAGAAAATGTGGGACAGAAATTCTAAATTTTAGAAAATCCAAACTTAATGGACACACTGAAACAGAAGAATCATCAAGACTATTATCCTTATATATTCTTCAAGATTTAAATCAAAACAATTTCAAGACACCACTCAGCCAAATAGCAGGCTAGGTCATAAATTAATGAGTATCACCTTTGAATACTGCAGTCTTATAAAAACCATCTACATGAGACCAAATAGCCAACAAATACTCTAAAACATAGATGTGAATGTTGGGGACTGTGAAACTTGTTCAAGGCAACAGAACAACCAGACCAGAAAAAAAAAAAAAAAAAAGATTATGTTGATACAATGCTAAGAATATAACCAATATTCATGAATATCACTGAGCAATATATGTAGCAATTGTTGAATCAGAACCTGTTTTGCTATGTACACTTCCATTGAAAATACAAAAAAAATATTGACTAAAAAAAAAAGAACTGAACTGAATCCTGGAAAGTGATACACATGAAAATTAGATTGCCTTCTATAAGTGTGTTGCAAATTGTGCATATTTATTCAAATTTGGAAGCTAAAGAACCAGTTGATCGTGTTGATTCTTCTTTCCTTCAGGCCCTGATCTGAAATGAAGTGTTTTTTAAAGACATTCTCCATTTTCTTTAAGCATTTAGGGTCAGTTCTTTAGACACCTGGAATGACTATGTGTCAGGGAAGAATTGCTGTTAGAAGTCTTTATTTCCAAAGATGACTGTCGGCCTTAGTTTATCATACATGGCTGTCAACCTTTCCACATTCTCATCTGATTTTTAAAATATACAGTGACCACCTTGACCATTAAGAGTATGTTTTCTCTAAGCTTTTAAAGAAGAGTACAACTACAATGTGTGCTCACTAAACCTCAGTTGAAAAAAATTGTATATTAAATTTTATATGTGAGTCTGCCAGTCATGTTTTATCCAGATCAAGAACAAAAACTGAACAGTTCATATATGGATATTTTCTAGGGAGTTGCACTCCTCATAAGCTTCACAGTGCCCTTGGTCTCAAATCTTCTGCCCTTGGAGAGGGGATAGGCATAAGGTCTAAGGCAAAGATACTTGGCATTATCTAGTATAATCATCAGGAGTTAGATGTCCCCCATTATTTTTGAGGATTTGATTGTGTTGTTTTGATGTTATAAAACACTGTTTATCTAGATACAACATATTTTATCTATCAACTCTGAAGTACTGTGAATCTCTTGTGCCAAGTCCTATATGGCATCTTTGGCTCTTCACTAAGCCTTGTCAGTCAGAGTAGAATAATGATTCAATCTGCCTGTGTAACAGGCCGCCATGTACAAAAGACCACATTTAAGAAAGAGGAAGATTCTTCAGAGATACTGACCTTAGTGTCGTTATAAAAATCATGCCTCCAGAGGCTCTTTATTCAACTCATTGAGAACATTCAATCTCATCCAAGTTCTATTGTTCTATCAAGTCTGAGTATGTGAAAAGTGATTTGGCCTCACACTAGAATTGACTTAATTGATCTGGCTGATTGAAAAACTGCCATGACAATGAAATCAGCCAAATCTTGTATGATTTTCTTGACTTGATATCATATAAAGTTGGTGAAAAGACATTGTTCAAGGATACCTAACCCTGATTCTACGTTTCCCCTCTCCTTTGCAATGTGACCCTGCAGATACTGCATTTGGTTCAAAAACCATGAGAAGAGAAGGCACTTAAGTATTCTCTTAAACAGATTTATAGATTATTAATTAATTAAAATTATTTAAGAATGGATGGACAAAAGAAGGGAAGAAAGGGGAGACAAATAGAAGGAGGAAGTGGGGGATGGGAAATGAATGAAAGGAAAGAAGGTGGAAAGATGATCGGAAGAGACTATCAGAGACTAAAATAGAAAAACTGGTTCCTGCTTTTCCAGCTTTTATCTGGACCCTACAATACCTTGCTATTCCATCCCTCAACTCAAATAAATAAAAAGTTATTTTAATTTTCTTCTTGTTTTGGAAGCTTCCTATTATTAAAGTTTGTTTAATGTTATTTATGACAATTATCTTCTTATATTTTAGACTCCTTCGTAGCAGTACTTTTTATCTTCTATCAAGTATTAATACTCATCCTGATTTTACCTTAAGGACTTTTCTCACTTTACATACTAGACAACCTAACCACTCTTAATTTTCAACTACCAGCTATAATATTTTTAACCACTAAATCTATCTATCTTTAGTATATATCTCCTCTGACCTTTAGACTTATATTTAAAATTCAGTAGAGGCAATTTTTACCTGGACATTGGTCCATGTATAACTCAAACTCAGTTTGAAACTAAATTTTTATATTGAATTCTGTTCTTTCTCTTGGAATTTTACAAATGTATTAATAATCCCACTCTCTAGATCATCTCTCAGCCAGAAGTTCTTATTATTCTTTTCTTTTACTACAATTTGACATTAGAACAACAATTTGATATTAGAAATAGTACTGCTTTTACCTTCAAGTATTAAGAAAAACTAAATTTAAAATTATTTTCAATGAAAATATATATATATATATATAAGTAGGCAATTAATAAGCTATATATTCAATGCTGTGTTATTAACTTGACAATAAATTGAAGTCAATTATTAATGTAGTACTTTTATAAAAGACAAATTTTCTAATATCTTTATTGGCTTTACTTATGCTTTTAGCTGGCCACTGTGGTTCTCCAGATCCAATTGTCAATGGACATATCAGTGGAGATGGTTTCAGTTATAGAGACACTGTGGTTTATCAGTGTAATCCTGGTTTCCGGCTTGTTGGAACTTCAGTTAGGATATGCTTGCAAGACCACAAATGGTCTGGACAAACTCCTGTTTGTGTCCGTAAGTACACAGTTCATGAACTATCATCAGATATGTCCTTTTAATACATTTTCATCTGTTATGAAGTCATACTAAAACCATGTTTAATATTCAGTGTACAACAGAACACTCAGTATGTCCAAATAAAGAGAATTTGAGCATTAATTCACACTCTTTTTCTTTTATCATTTGCCTCCCAATCTGTTTCCTACTCACCTTGCCTCCAGACTTCTTTCACATCGACCCCAGGACTTATGAAATAATTTTATTGTATCTGCCTTTTCATTGCTTTTTAAATTTCAAAATATTCTATAAAGAATTGAGTAAGGAAAATAATTTTTATAACAAAGTACTCTTACCAGGTGTTGCTTATTTTCCACAAATACAGTAACAACCTTGTGGGATCAGTCCCAAGATTTTACCCCTAAATTTCCCTTTCCAAATATAAATAAATTCTGTAAAATATCTAGTTAGGTCAAAACTTTCCAATCTATACAGTTCACATATTTGCATATTTATAAATAAATAACTCCAAGGGAGTGATGACTTGTTTATTATGCAACAATAATATAGAGTTATATTTTTCTCCAGCTATTACATGTGGTCACCCTGGAAACCCTGCCCATGGGTTCACGAATGGCAGTGAGTTCAACCTGAATGATGTCGTGAACTTCACTTGCAACACGGGCTATCTACTTCAAGGTGCATCTCGAGCCCAATGTCGGAGCAATGGCCAGTGGAGCAGTTCTTTGCCTACTTGTCGAGGTAGGAAAAACTTCCAATTGATGAGCTCCTCACTTTTAGAGTATACTAAGCTATGGTATTGTAGTGGCTAAGGCACTTGACTGCTAACCAGAAGGCTGGTGGTTCAAACCCACCAGCCACTCCTCGGAAGGAAGATGGGGCAATCTACTTCTGTAGTGATACTGCCTCGGAAACCCAAGGAGGGGTTGCTATGAGTCGGGTTTGACTCGATGGCTCATAACAACAACAACAACAAGCTATTAACCACAACTGAGATAGCATAGTAGGCTAGTAACTGAAAAATTACTATGAAAATCCTTCTGAATTGTCTGACTCTGTCATGTCTAGATAATCAAAAACATAGAAGTTTGCTTAATTTATTTAGTTAATAACAGTATTTTGTCAATACAAATCCATTGTTGGAAACTCCTTTAGGTAGTTGTCCTAATGTGGAAATAATATATGGGCCCAGTATATTATTTTCCATGAAATAAAATGTCATAAGTTCTGTTTTTTACCATTAAGGTCCTCTTCAGCTCTGTTAAATGAATAAATAATGTTTAATTAAAGCTCCTATTTTCGTATATAGTATGTATTTAGGTTAACTTTTGCACTCAGCCTAGTTCCCTGGAGATTCATTTAAGTCATTGCCTTTATCAATAATTGGGTCTTTTATTTTATTTTTTTATTGTGATTTGGGTGAATTTTTTTTTTTCCTGATTCATATTACAGAGTTTGGATATATCAGAGTTTGTTTAACAGTTTACCCATTGAAATTGATCTGGGTTGTTTCCTGTTTGTTTTGCTATTACTGATAAAATTGCTAAAAATATTCATGTGCATGTTTTTGTGTGAAAACAATTTTTCTTTTCTCGTGGAAAAATAAGAAATCTCTATTTCTGGATCATGTAAGCATACTGAAGTATGCTTACAAGATTAATTTGCATACTTAATTTTATAAGGAACTGTGAAACTGTTTTTCAGATTGTCAGTATGATTTTACCTTCCTGCCAACAATGTAGGAATTCTGAGTGATCATGTTTTTCTATATTCTCACCAAAATTTAGTGGTACCACTGTGGGGTTTTTTGGTCATTTTTTATTGGTGTTTAGTAATATCCCATGGTGATGTTCATTTGCATTTTCCTGTTGGTAAATCATGTTGAACATCTTTTCATATATATTTTTC